CCATATTTCTCTTGCCAAATTGTGCTCGAGACGGTGCTTTCGAAGAGACTGACAAGTGGTTGTGCTAAATATTCGGAGAGAAACTATCCATTTTCATCAAGCAATGATAATGTCTGAAATCGACAAGACAGACGCTGACGACTACTTTACTTATGTTAACATCGTCAGTCTCGATTAGGAAACAATTGACTTCAACTCCCTCACGGCTGATCAGTCTAAATGTCTGCTTTTGATCTATGGCCTACATTCTCCACTTGATGCGGAGATTCGCACCAGACTGCTGAGCGAACTTGAATATGACCCTCGAATGACACACCAGACCGTCGCTACCGAAGGTCAAAGACTGCTTAATATCAAGAATGACACGCTTACGTAAAAAGTAACAGATAACCTTTTATCCTAGTGTATTGAGGACCACTTCACATAAACCGCTTCCAAGTGAAACGCCGTGAAAAGCCGAGAGAGGATCTTGTAACCCCCACTGCCTGTTGAAAATATGGTGAAGGCATTTTGTTTGAGTATCTCCATTCCTGAAACATGTTCGACAGAAGTGTCGCAGACGGGGCACAACGAATCGCACTGTCGATCCGAACTGCTATCCAAACGTGCTAGACACCAACGACCGAATTCGAATGTTCACAAAAGATTCAGTAATTATAGCACGGTTCAAGCGACCTACTCTGATGAACATGTGGACCTCAGGAAGTATATCAGAATCCACGTAAATGGGAATCAAGTGGCCTTCAGTTGGATAGAGCCTCGGATTACCGTATTAGCTGTCACGTAACCTGGCGGAATATTGGGGCTCCATCCATTAGTTCAACGGAACATGCTGCATTCAGTGCTTCTAGCGGTCAAGCTAAGCGCATTGGTGAGCTACACTGTGAAATGCTTTTCGACTCTACCCGGGCAAGTAGCATTGTGTACATCACGGTGATATCGCATTTCAATCTGCGTCGTCTTGGCGGGATCCAGATGCTCCACTAATTCGACATTCCACTGAGCCAAGTCCGCAACAACCTCCAGTTCAGAAACACGAGGTCGCATTCGAACATGAATTAGTCAAACAAATTGCTGATCGGGCTGCTACGAGAGAAATTCCTGTCAATGTTTCGGAACGACTTGGGACGAAGCACAAGAGCCAAAACAAGCCTTTCAACAACGGCGCCAAGCCGGTCTTTTGATCAAAAAACCGGTATCATACGCTGTTCTTCCAATAGTTGTTCAGAACTCGATCGTCTGGAACAAGCCGACGTCATCCAACCTGTAACCTACTCATCCTGGACAGCACCTCACCAAAATCCTTCCATTCATAAGTAGCACCTATTGTTTTCGGCAAGAAGATTAATGGAAGTGTTCATATCTGCGCTGACTAATCTACGGGATTGAATGCTGCTTTACAAAGAGGCCGGTACGTCTTGCCTGTCCCAGAAAATTTATTTGCCAAGCTCACTATTGGTGCTTGCTTCTCAAAGGTAGACTTATCTGTGCTTATCTTCAAGCTAAACTATTGGACGTTATAAGGGAGTTACCGACAATCAATACAAGCCGAGATATTTACCAGTGCAACTGTTTGCCCCCTTCATGTCAGATCTGCTTCCGTGATTTTTCTACAACTTATGGATACGATACCAGCCGGATTACGGTGGGTTGCCACTAATTTAGACGACATGTTTATCAATGGATCGACTCACCGAGAGTTGACAGAAGGACTGCGAGCAGTCCTCAACCTCTTTAGTGACTAGAGGTTTCACTTGAAAGCGGAAAAGTGCAATATCAACATAAAGTCTGTAGAGTAGCTTGGCTTCATCATCAAAAAACATGACCGTCTTCCGGATCCCACTAACATTAGCACCATCAAACAGAAACCTCCCCCTGGCAATGTCGCGAAGCTCCGATCATTATTTGGGTTGCTCAGTCACTACACCTCGTTTACGTCCGAAATGCATCGGCTACCAGGACCTTAACATGCGCTTCTCGTGAAGGATCGCAAAGGATTGCAGCTATCTGAAGCTCAGGTAGCGTTTGAAGATGTCGAACCGATATTGTGTCCTGACCTATTATCCACGTATTGCAATCCGGCCCTGGGGATTATGGTTGCTTCTGCCGCGTCATACCTCGGAATCAGCGTGAGCAAATCCCAAAGTTCCTCGATGCTTCGGAAAAATCTATGACATATGCAGCGATATTACTCACTCCAGAGGAACGCAACTATGGGCAGATAGAGAACGAAGCTTTGGCTATAGTGTTTGCAGTCAGGCAATTTCACAAAATGCTAAGGACGCAAATTCACGCTTGTTACCGACCACCAACCTTTGGTTGCTGTCTTTGAATCAAAAAGAAGGCAGTCCGGTCTGTAGGACTAATCGTCTCGAACCTTGAGCATATATTCTACTTGATTACAATTTTGACGTAAATTACCGATCTATAAATAGTATTGATCAGGTGGACGCATTATCTCCTTTAATTGGCACAGTATCAAGAACGAGAAGATCAGGTATTTGTCTAATTCTCTATGGAACCTTAGGTTAATCAGCTTGTGTCCGACGTCCTTTGTGCCCTACCATTAACACTCAGTATGGTGCGGAAAGTGACCCTACAACAAGTAATCAGGTTTCACCTCAATCGCCGGCCTAAGAAAGTTACAATGCCGAAGCTTCAACAGCTCCAACCACAAAAGGAAGCACCGACTGCTGTTCCCAGACCGCTTCATCATTCCTGGCATCTTTCAAGAAAGAATTCTCCGACAATTTCATACTGCCCATGTAGGAATGAATCTCAGAAAATTGTTAATATGAAGATATATGCACTGGCCCTAATCTGGATTGCCAGATAGAACATTTAACGAAGAATGGTCCCCGACCCGCCAATGTCTCTAAACAGCCCAGGATGACGGAATTCCAATCCTGGCAAATATCCACGGTCCAGATTTTATATCGATTTTGAGGGTCCAATTAACGGTCATCGTTTTCTCATCGTTGATGATGCTCACAGCAAATGGTCTGTGGATAGCTTAATGGTGAAAACTACTGCAGTAGCCATAGTCTCCGTTCTTCGACAGATATTTTCTCGTTTCGGGGTTCCTTATACTTTGGTTTCGGACAATGGTGCTCCGTACACCTCAGCTAAATTTATTGCTTTCTGTCACAGAAATGCCACTGTCCACATATGGTCGCCATCTTTTCACCCACAACCAATCGGATACACAGGGTGCTTTGTGGATACACTCTAAAGAGTCCTGTTAAAAAGGAAATAAGAAAACACCTTTGCGGAGATTATTAACACATTTCTTCTGACTTATCGTACAACTCTAGATGAGCAGAAAACGAACGCATTGTACCTGGATGAAATCCTGTTTCAAAGGAAAATTCGGGTGCCGCATGATGCCCTCAGACCCCGGAAGGAACCATTACCATTCCGCAATCTCCAGATGGACCGTCAGTTCAACATTCGACACAGAGCTCACATGCGAGTATTCATGTTGCTCAGCAAGTCCTGGCGAGAGATTATCACAACCACTATCCCAACTGGGCCATGGTTCCTGTGCAATCCAAAAGCGGCAACCTGATCTGAGGTATCCTGGTTGGGACGGCAATTTGAGTGAGGCAGATAAATCAGTTTCTAGAGAACTGACAGACAACTACAACAGCATGTACCAGCATGGAAGTTACTTCTAAACATACTGGTCGACGCAGGCAAACAGGAAACTCCCCAACACACCCCAACATATCAACCTTCAGCTTCGTGGTGAAACCTGACAACCCGAAGGCCGAAGCGTCGGTCCAAGTTCGTGTCACATATGCAGGTCAACGCATTTCTGAAATCTTACAATGCAACAACAAGGACGAGCAGCGGAGCCAAAGCACAGCTTGGACGAAACTATAGTCAACTGGGTGAATCAGCTAACTAGCATGAGAGCGATGGTGCGATGGCACTTAAGCTGACTCTTCCAGTGGCTTCCACGTGAGCTTTGAGTATCGCCACCGAATGTTCGGTATGACCTTTATATTGGATGCTGTGACTAGCCAATGCACTCCGTATTTTTCTTCTTGTCAGGAACCGCTCTCCGCTCTTTTGTATTGGGGCGAGTGACCTTGAGTCTCCGATCGATAGCCGAAGTCTAATGAGGAGAAAGAAGACTAGTTCAGCTCAATTGGGTATTTCATTTAGGTATTGACGACAATAAGGAACCAGGTCCACGTACATATGGAATTATCGAAGAGAGCATAAACTAACCGAATACATGATCGGTTGAGCCATTGTGGTCATACGCCTTGCTGTGCCCACCGTCCTATTGTCTTCAAAATCTCGTAAAATCCGTGTGAAAACGGTCACCACGAGTTTCGTAGACATCGGAACTTTGGAAGCTGTGGCGGTGGAGATACTATTTGGAGAGAAATCGGGTCTTTCATACAGGTAAATCTTGGCCGCAGGCTTGTAAAATCCAGGAATTTTGAGGTATCATTCAAGAAAAGTTTAGAGTCTGATTGTATAGACTACACTTATTATTATTTACTTGCATTCATGACACATTCAAAAGCCTTTTGAAGGGAATCCTGTTCCTTTATAGATCTATCGAAACGGTCCTTATTGTTATCAAATTAATTCCAACGGGCGCGAAAGCTACTATGTATTGTTCGTTGAGTGGCCCACCACAAAACAGCTACTGGCACCCCATTCCGTCTACTCGTTTTATATAATATTGGCTGAGGTGGGAGTGTTCACTCGACAAACTAAAGGCATTTAGGAGCGTTCGCGCCAATTGAGTGCAAACTGATATCAGTAGGGACCATCTTGATGGACTAAGTAAGGAATATAATTTCCTTACGAATAACTTTGAAAGCGCCATGGAGGTAACTGACTGAGAAGAGGTATAGTCACCGTATTTGCGAAGCATTGTGGAAAACCTCTTTTACCTAGCTGCAGCACAACGGCAGCGCTCAGTCTCTTCAAACGCCAAGATGTTTCAGCAAACGACTCTCCAGCTTTCGATGCTACGGAGTTGATCCCTGCTGTAGGTGTCTGAGTTACCAGATATTATAAGGGGCGATCCATAGTCCATAAATAGGCGCGATCATTAAACGCAACAAATGAACTGTGTCTATGTCACCAGCAGCTCAGTAGCATAAAAGTACCACTGCTGCGAGCATTGTAGGCAGTTGGCCTAAACTACATCGACGTGAAGGCTTGGAACACGGTTAGCAAAACTGGTAGATTCGCAACTAGTCCGCGGTAGTGCCCACGAGTAGCGGTAGGATGTTGGTGCAACTTTACGGCTACCCGAGCTACACATGCGTACATGTCCTACCCCTAGTGTTCATGGCTGGTTCACCATAACCCTACCTTAAACGTCAAAATATGTAGTGCCGCCCCGTCTACTTAACCCTCAACGAAATGAGAACAATGAAGGACCAGCCAGGACAGAGGCTACTTTTGCATTAGAACATAGAGGAAGAAATAGGTTGAAGGCAGCTACTAAACACAAGAACATCGGTGATGCTAATTAAAATCAATGAACACTACTCAAAACGGTTCAAGTTCAGGGTTCAACGCGCTGCTGACCCACACAGATTCGCGATTGACCACTGTTTGAGTTCAACCACCAAATGTGGATCGATCCCATCTTAGACCACGGCTGTCTGCTTGAACGCTGACTGTAAGCTGGCTCCCCGTAAGACTTCCACGCGCAAATCGACTTCCGACTTCCGTCTTGGGTCCAGCTGCATTCTGACGACAGGTCTCAGTACCCGATCGGAACAGCGTCTTGGTTGCGTAATCGGCTCTTCTGGAATGGTCGTGCAAGATGCATCAGAAACGTTCTCTGTACTGACCGGCATATCGATACTCTCCACCAGGATATGCAGCGGTAGCAGTCGACTGCTTTTCCTTATCGCTATGCTAGTTGGTTGAAACTGATTAGCATGCTTGGTTCAAATGTGGTCCTCCAATTTAACCTTATATAGGACACGTCCCAATCTGCTTTGGATCAGACCTGTCGCCAATCGTGGGCTTTTCGCATGGTCGTCTTTGACCAAAACTTTAGGTCCTGTGTAGAATTGACGTGCTTGTGTCCTATTTCGTTGATTGGAATAGTCATCCATCCTCAGGTCTCTTTCTTCCGGGGCATCGGACTTCGGGAGCAATAACGCATTCATTATGCAAAAAATATCGTCCCAGTAAGACTTATGCGGGTGAATGCAGATTGCGGACATGGGGATCCAGTGTCGTCCTGTACATAATTGTAAAACGCATCTAACACCTACTGAGTGGTTTCATTTCCCAACATTTTCAACAAAGCTAGATTCAAGGTATCGACAAATCATGCTGCCTGTCCGTTAGATTGTGAATGGAACGGTGCCGAGCGTACATGGGTGATGTTATTCTAAGCGCAGTTCTTGGAAAAACAAGAAGTGAACTGTGACCCGTTGTCTGTGACTAGCATCTGGCACTTCATGTACGCAGAAAGATTTCCTCAGTACGTTGCTGTTGCGTTACTGTTCACTCTATGCAGAATACCCCTGCCATAAAATGGACGCGTTAACAGCAACAAAAACAGCCGCGCTTTCACCAGGCCAAAATATGTGCACACACACGCTCTCACGGTATCATTATCAAAAGCCAGCAGGATAAATCCTGTTTTTTGAGCTTCCTGCTGGCAAATGCGTGTCTCTGCCATGTCCATGCCATCTGTTCCAGTTCCGAGTCAATATGCAGCCAGAAAATAAACATGGGAATAACAATTTGCATCAAGATAATACCTGGATACCATCGATGAAAACGCTGAAGAAATCTCCAGCGAAACACCGAAGGCCCGACAAAATGTTCGGCCAGCAATAAGCATCCCTTGACCAAAGACAGCAATTTAAGAAACTTAATACAAAGACTACATTAACGAGGTAAAAAGACATAGATTGAGATATGCCAACATTTCCATTGATCTCGTCTGTCGCAAAGCAATAAAGATAGAACAAAATACGCATAAATAAGGTTTCCACTTAGTAACATCGAGAAACAAACAAAATTGGTGTGAACGACGTAATCAGGTCCACAGCGATTTAATTGAGTGCCTCAGTTGTTTCTGGGCACAGAGCGCGGGACAGTTCAAAGTGATCAGAAACGCCTCGCTAAGTGTCAACAACCGGGTTTCTGTTGCTCAATAGCACCTGGTGACGAGTCGACATTAGATGCTTAATGAGAGACGAGGCAGAGTTCCGATTCATTCTTTGGTCCACTCCGCTTTGGTGAGACAGCAACTGTCTTAGCAACAATGGGAAGCATTCAGCCAATCTTTAAGCCAGCTGACGACCAGCCCTGCCGAGGTAAATGTCACTGCAACTGTAAGTGCACTGGTAGATGCTGTTAGAGGCCGAATTGACTAGCGAACTACTCGGACGGATGTGGAGAGGAATCCCTCGTGTAGTGTGAATAAGCCGTAGTTGGGCGGTAGAGTAGGCTCGCACTACAGCCGACCTGAGCTTGTGCCCAACATTATTTGCCACATAATCCCCTTGAACGGTAAGACCAAATAAACATCCTTCTGCTCCGCTGTCCGTACTGGCAACGTCTTCTTGGGGGTCTGCTATGGGTCTGAATGAATTTCTCCGGATACCCAATGGAAAGCAGAGTCAGGTATAAATCTGTTCTTCAGCTTTCAGCATTTCTGGAATGCAAATTCGCTTGACTATGTAGAAGAGCGCTTTTACGTAGTCTGAGAAGAGCAAACGAAAAGTTAATCTATCGCAACTTATGTCTTCATACCTCGTTAATGAAGTGTTTGAAGGTGACTCAATGTTGTTGTATTTCTCAGATCTTCTCAAATTTTCTCAGACGTTCACTATCTATGATGACGAGGTCATCTACATAACGCTTGAAAAAGTTTGCTTGAGCTCTTATTGTAGTAGCTTTCTTTTTTATCAGTCCCATGAAGATAACTTTCAGAACTGGTCCCAGATGACTACTTACAGCGACAGTGTCGAGCAGTTTTACGCCATCCCATCAAACTCAAATCGCACATTCTCAGTGCACAACAAGATCAAGTCTTTCAGGTACTCCAGAGGAAGATCCATACAGTTTCTGACTCAAATGGAAATAACATAGTTAGTCGGCCTTTTCACGCAGGGACGCATTCATGAAAAGCGAGTCCACGTCAATGGAATACTTGAGTTCTGCACCGAGCGTTGTTTGTTCCAGTATATTGGTCAATTCAAAGGAGTCTTTTAAACAATGAGTACTCAGAAGCTTACGCAATGGTTCTAAGAGCTTTGCCAATCACCAGGCAACTTTGTGGTAAGGACAGGTATCCATACGCATTATTGGGCCTAGTGAAATTCCCCATTTGTGCAGTTCCGGCGCAACTCTCATCCTAGTTGCTTCTGTCCCTCTCGGTTTTAACTGCCGATATCGTAACTGATATATTAGCATGAAGAAAATAATCTGTAGTTTCCTTGCAGTTTGCATCTCCACCAAGATTTTGGTGTCCAGAGTCTTTTCAATGCCATACTTTTGTCCCTCTCCGAGAATGGACTCCATTTATGGATCTTATCAGCTTTGTTAATTATTACCACACCCGTTCCTTTATGCACTTGCAGAAAAATTACGCGCTTCAGCTCCTCCAGCTTCTTGATTGCCATACTGTGTGTTCCTAATGTAAGCATCATCTCTGACTAATAGGCACGTTCAGGAACTAGTTCGGGATACCCATCAAAGTTGTCCGAAACCATCCTGCAACATCCGTTGATTTAGGAGTAAGATCGCTGAGTTGCTGGTAAAGATAGTCAAAACTAATCCTTTTATGGAGCCTCTCCATCATCTTCGACGGTATTCGATATTTGATTCCTAAAGAACGAAATTCCAACTGTTCTGGCGCGAAACGAGCTGATGACAGACAGCACACATGCTTCTAAACCTCAGTAGGGAAAGGAATGTTGGATGCTCTCACAAGGGTACTTTGATGATTACGCAATGTCTTGGAGAGTTTAAGCAGAAAATGCCCGAAATTTGAAACGGCAAACAAGTGACAACCAATTGAAAACATCCGGGAATGGCTTTTGTGTCTCCAGGAAATTACCTTCTCATTCAACGCAAGCATCGATATGTGCGGATACAATCCTGGATAGATTCACACTGTTTGCGGGCAGCTTATTTCTCGACAGGGTTTCAACGAATGGTGATGGAAATCGAACTGATTAGATAAATCTATAATAAAATCTATAATAAAATCTATAATAAAATTTAACCCATATGTGTTCCACCGTCATTTTGAAGCGCCACAACAACAATCGATCCAGAGTAGTCAAAACGTTAGCAAGGTGTCTTCATTTGAGAAAATAGCAACATTGAATCACCGTCAAACA